ATGTTCTGTTGATACGTTATATTTGATGAAAACATAAAAATATTAAGAGTACATACTTTCATAGGGGAACGTAGAAGGTCAATGACAGAAATGTAGAATAGAAAATATCATTAAGATACTGTAAGTGATCTTTACAATAAAACAGTTTAGTGTCGGATGTTCAAAGATATTAACAGGAGTTGCAAAACAGACAAACTAATTAGGCTTTATTTAAACATTAAATAACACTTTAGGTTAAGGTCTTCTTTTGAATAAGAAAAAAGCTTTGGGGGTATCTATCTACAGATAAATATTAAGCCTGACAAAGTACTTAACGTCTAATATATTGCTTTCCTGCAATGTTAACTATCTTGAAGCACTTATTTAAACTGATATTATACACATTAATTATACTCTTATGTAGATAGAATAAGAAATGTGCAGAATATGACAGTTTAATGGTGGAGGTTCACACATATTGATAGATGTCTTGTAATGCACTGTTGAGGAACCTGTGACCCAAGTTTGTCATCATTGCATAACTACACTGTAGTTGTGTATATGATATATCAATAAACCTTAGAAAATCTTGAAATCTTGAAAGGGATGTGCAAAATAGTCATTATATACAGTCTTTAATGAACTATTAGTAGAGAATAACGAGTAATGAATATACTTTATAGAGATCTGCAGATAAATGTTTATTCTTCTCAAGCACCAACTCTCAAATATCTCTCCTGATTGTTGGCACTTGACAATCACCTTCCCTGAATTTTACTCAGGTGTAACTAAAGTCTGATTTAAGGGTTGTTTATATTTCACATCATTAATCAGAATCTGCAAAGTTACTAAAATAAATGTAGTGGAGTAAAAATACCAGGTTAACCTCTGAATTGTAGTGGAGTAGAATTACAAAGTAACAGTGAGCTGTCATGTGGGTATATATTAATGCTGTCCATTATGGACACAAGCTATTTCGAGTCCAGTGTTGGATAGTCTGCCGTGGTTTCATTTGATTTCAAAGAGCTGTTTGACGCTCGGCGTAACCTTGGCGCACTGCCACTCCAACATCCAATCCCAGAGCTTGAAGATTAATCACAGGGTTTGTCAAGCAACTGGACTGTAGTCCCAAACAATAGCTGAGGATTATGGGTAGTATAGTGTCTTCGGCCATCCTAAACTCTGAAATGTTTCTCGGATTTCATATCGCATTAACACCATATCCCAACGTGCATAGCTGCTAAAACATCCAATCACCGAGCTTCAAGCTGAGGATCTTGGGTAATCAGGTCAGTGGGTGTGTATCGCAATGATGCTCGAAATGTCCCTTATAGGCCTACGTCTGTTTCCGGTGACTTTATTTTGAAATTCAGTTCCTGTAGGATCGCTAAAAAGCCCAAGATTATAGAATTAAACGAATAAATAAAAACAAGGATAATTGTGTGTTATTGTTGAGTAAATAACAGTGTGTTATTTAGAAAAGAATAACAAATTAGAAGGAAAAAAAGATTACAAAAAATACAGATTTCAGTATTCTGAGGCTCTGAGCTCCATTGCTTTTCCTAACGGACGGCAACAAAAGTCCAATATTATACGATTTAAAATAAAAACAATAATCGTGGCTTGGTATTGAGTACGAACATGTTTTTATGAACCCCACAGCTTCCGGACTTCTGCGTATATATTGCACGCATTTCCAATGTGTAAAGTCGTGTCATTTGTACGCAGACTGAAGAGAGTGGGTTGGGAAGCCAGTGAAGCGAGCGGAGGAGCGGTGTGGTGTGGGAACATTTAGGAAGGTTGAAGACCAGACGAGCCGCTGCATTCTGGATGAGCTGCAGAGGTCGGATGGCACATGCAGGTAGACCAGCCAGGAGGGAGTTGCAGTAGTCTAGGCGTGAGATGACGAGAGCTTGGACCAGAACCTGTGTGGCTTTCTGGGTCAGCTGGGGACGTATCCTCCTGATGTTGTAAAGCGTGTATCTGCAGCAACGGGTTGTAGCAGCGATGTTTGCAGTGAAGGACAGGTTGTTATCTAGGGTCACACCCAGATTCCTTGCAGTCTGAGTCGGGGAAACAACTGAGGTGCCGATGTTGATTGTTAGGTCAAGAGTGGGACAATCTTTTCCCGGGAGGAAGAGCAGCTCAGTCTTGTCAAGTTTGAGCTTGAGGTGGCGAGCAGACATCCACTGAGAGATGTCAGCTAGACAAGCAGAGATGCGTGCGACGACCTGGGTCTCTGAACGGGGACAATACCAAACTAATTGAGTGCCGTCAGCACAGCAACGGTGTGAAAAACCATGCGGGCTAATGACTGATCCGAGCGAGTTTGTGTACAGGGAGAAGAGGAGGGGACCGAGGACAGAGCCCTGAGGGACCCCTGTAGATAATTGACATCCCCTTCTTGTACACAACGTCAGTGTTGATCTTCCACTTCAGTCCGTTGTCTAAGTGCAGTCCCAGGTACTTACTCTGTTTACTGGATTATTCACACGCTTTTCACCCTTAGATGCACGAGTGACTGGACCCTACACTCTTCCATGAGTGGGTCTAAAAGGACCGGTATTAGAATAATATGTGTTTTTATGCCATTTTGGTCATTTTGGTTAAGAAAAATCACTTGCATAATATTTAGTATTATATTTTGGTTCACATTAGAAATATTTTATATTAAATCTTTCACAATTTATCATTTTAGAAAAAAAAATTACATTTTGAAAAAAAACGTTTTGAACATATTGTCCCAAAGATCTCCGCTATTCTGAGACCCTCACAGTACTCCAGTCCCTTTTCAAAACTCATCTCTTCTCCTCTTGTCTACTCATTGCCCACCCCCCATCAATCCATGCCGGTTGATCAAGTTTGATAGTCCTACAGTATACCCCCACCGTAACCTTCCCTTATATTGTAAAGTGATTTTGAGTCCTTGAAAAGCCCTATACAAATATAATGTATTATTATTATTATTATTATTATTATTATGAAACAGACAGGTTTCAGATCTTGCTGTGTAAAGTAATCTTCCTGAGAGGTGTCACTTGTGATGTCGTCTGTGTGTTCTACAGTGAATGTATTCCTGACGGCAACAGGTGATAAGAATCAAAGGTTCCCAGAGGATCCAGAGGAAATGCATGCGGGTCCTTTTTGACCCATGTATGGAAGTTTGGGGTAGTAATGCAAAAACTACAATTTCTTAAAATGTAAATTTAAAATGTGAATGGCGTGATATCCAAAACATGTTTTTTGAGGAATAGCTGGAATATGAAATGATAAAAAAAATGTAATTACAAAGATACTTCAAGAAAACCACCTCACCGGGTCCCAAAAGACCCACTTATGCATCTAAGGGTTAAAAGACCTTTTTTGAGTTTGACAGTTCCTGTGGACTTGAACAGTTTAGTGTGGCTTTTATAGATTTAGATTTACAATGTTCCTGTGTGTATGAGTTCATTCTCTTTAAACTCTCTAGAGAAGTATTTCAGAATGCTCTGCTTGAAAAAGAAGAAAGTTACACGATTAATGGAGATGATGGACATTTCATGTGTGTGTGTGTGTGTGTGTGTGTGTGTGTGTGTGTGTGTGTGTGTGTGTGTGTGTGTGTGTGTGTGTGTGTGTGTGTGTGTGTGTGTGTGTGTGTGTGTGTGTGTGTGTGTGTGTGTGTGTGTGTGTGTGTGTGTGTGTGTGTGTGTGTCCTCAGTGAAGTGTAGCTTCCAGCTGCAGCAGTCATCTCAGTTCCTGTTCAGTCTGACTGAGGGAGGTTTTTGTACGACGCTTTTTCACTGTGTGAACACATACTGACTGTTGATGTAATGCCAACTCTGACAGTAGTAAACTGCTGCGTCATCAGTCTGGACTCCACTGATGGTCAGAGTGAAGTCAGAGTTTGATCCACTGCCTGTAAAACGCTCTGAAATCCCTGAAACTCGAGTGCTAGTAGTGTGGATAAGCAGTTTAGGAGTTCCTCCATCCCTCTGTTGGTACCAGGCTAAATATATCCCACCATGAACATGGGAACTGGTCTTACATGTGATGGAGACGGAGCGTCCCGCAGCAGAGCTCACTGCTCCAGACTGAGTCACTGTGACCTGGCCTCTGGACTCTGAGGACACAGAGACAAAGACACAAAGCAGCGTCATGGTTTTGTCCGCTTCATTTCAGAGGGACGGATGTTCACAGAGGAGAGGAGTTTGATTCTCTGGACTTTACCTGTGAAGCAGCAGCAGAGGAGAGTCCAGATGAGGACGCAGATCAAAGTCATGTTCTTGATGAGGAGGATTTCTGTGGCTTCTGTTGTCATGAAGGACAGCTGTCAGTCATCCAGTGCTCAACTCTCAGGACTATAAAGTGTCCCAGAGCACTGGAGCATGGTGCTGCTGATGCAAAGTGTGTCTCTATGGAAATGCTCTGACTCCAACAGGGACCTGGATTACTCTGATGGTGCTGTTTATCAATGGATCCATCTCTCTGTCAGAGGGTTGATCAGGAATGGCTCAGCGCTCACTTGTACGACGCTTTAAGTTCAACGGACACATTTTCTTGTAGTTCATTTTATTAAAAAGCTCAAATTCATAACTCCAAATAATCAATAGCACCTAGGAAAAACAAAATGGAGATTTATTATTGATCCTGATGGAAAAGCAAACATGTATTTATGGAAATGATGCACATTCAGAAGTATAACATGTATAGCTTGAGTTAGACGTTCATTGTTTCATTGAAGTAATCAATTACTTTGATGTTTAAAAGTTGATAAAATCATGAAACTAAACATATTTTGTGAACAATTCGTTTTTCAAAAGAAGAATCTTCATTAAAAGTGAAGAGATAAGTAGATATTTGTTTTAAATGTTTAAAAGGTTCAATAGAGAAACACTAGATACTTTCCGTGTGAATCAGTTTCAAACATTTGAAGCAGTAATTATATAAAGTGGGTAAACTGAGGATGTGTTTGGTGAGTTTGTTTGTGTCAAAGTCAGAGAGCCGTGTCTCTCTACAGTGAGAGGTTTTTGTACGGCGGCTCAATGACTTTGTATCACTGTGGAACACGTTCGGTGGAGGAACCAGACTGGATGTTGGAAGTAAGTCAAGTGTTAATTCATAAGAGCCATTTCTCTTTTGTTGTACTTATTATTCAGCGTACGGAGAAATAGTTACCTCTCCATGTCATTGTTACATACTTATCAAATATTCTGAACTGAGAGGCTAACTTTACTCCAGCAAAAGACTTTCAATGTTTTTATGAAACATTGAACACAGAATAATTCATTATTTCCACCTTTAATGGTGAAGTAGCTTCTGGAGGGCTGGTAGGTTTAGTTCAGTGAGTCAAAGTCAGAGAGCCGTGTCTCTCTACAGCGAGAGGTTTTTGTACGGCGGCTCAATGACTTTGTATCACTGTGGTGGACTTTTGGTGGAGGAACCAGACTGGATGTTGGAAGTAAGTTTCTGCACAAAAACTAAATATGATGTTAAGAGACGTTTTAAATTCTGTGTTAGAGTGTTTGAGAGATAGATTTATAGTATTTTAATTGTAATGTTTAGATAGTGTTAGTATTCATGTCTTTATTTCTCTTCATCATTGAGACCAAGTCAGAGCAGCTTCTCTTGAAATGTCTTTCTACATTCCCAACATGCTGTCATTCAAACAGCTTCAAATGTGAAATGATGAAACTGCTAATTTGTCATGAACTCATTTTGAATTGTCTATCTCGGTTCTCCTCTCTGTTCTCAAATACATGACGGATACAGTTTTTAAATACAGATGAACGGAGTAAAGATAACGATGGATATTAGAAAATGTGTTGAATTCTTTAAGACATTATTTTATAGTCTGTAAAACTGGGTAGTGATTGAGATTCACATCGAGCAGCTGATTGCTCCGTTTCCTGTATTTGTTCATTTATCCACTAAATAATTTAATAATGTTTGTAGAGTTCAGGTTTTGGATGATTTTGATAACTACTACTTAAAATATGTCCTAATGTTGTACTTTATTTCTATTGTAGTCTGACATATTTCAGGTGACTCTGTGTGAAGTGTCTCTGTGCTGATTTGCACGAGAGGCTTCTTAAAGGGAAGTGAAACAATGTGTGAGTGAGAGACTGATGGAGCAGAACCAACATCTGACAGAAACTCCTTAAAGGAGAAGCGCTCTCACAGTAAAGGTGTCCCAGTGTCTGCTGCTTGATGGACAGCTGTGTGCTCCCTGTCCTCTAATCTGATTGGTGTCTCCTAGGTGATGTCCCTCCCACCCTGACGGTGCTGCCCCCCTCCACAGAAGAGCTGCAGCAGGGGAAGGCCACGCTCATGTGCCTGGCCAACAAGGGCTTCCCCTCAGACTGGAGTCTGGCCTGGAAGGTGGACGGCAGCAGCAGCAGCAGCAGCAGCAGCTGGGAGGAGAGCAGGAGCCCCGGGGTGCTGGAGAAGGACGCCCACTACAGCTGGAGCAGCACCCTGAGGCTCTCTGCAGACCAGTGGAGGAAGGTGGTCTCTGTGACCTGTGAGGCCACCCAGGGCTCCCAGACTCCGCTCTCAGAGACACTGAGGAGAGACCAGTGTTCCCAGTCCTGAGCTGACTCACTGGGACTCTGCTTTCTCTCTCACACTGCTCTCAGTCTGCTCTCTGGCTCTCAGGACATGTTTCAACATCAACCTGTTTCTGCTCGTGTCCATGGTTTCAACATTTAAAAACAATAAAGATGAATGTGTGTATTATAAAATGTGTTTGGATTCCCTTTCTCTGAGATATTATATATAAAAGGAACCTTATTCACATTCATTCACAAAAGTCACAACATTAACAAGTCAATATTTCACATGTTACTTTTTAATGCTCTTCAGGGTTTGGATATACTTCTGGATTCCTCCTAGTTTTATTTTTGTTAATCAAAATTGACACCAATCAGAATATAACATCTCAACGGTAAACCACACAGCTCTCTTATCACTGATGTTCAAGTAAATGTTCATTTGTTATTAAACGTTACTTTGAATATATTCTGAACATCTGATAAAAACATCTGAATTAGAAAAAGAAATCCAGGATAAGAAATGAAAAGCAGGATATCCTCGTCATCAAGTTATTTAACATGAATCTTAATTGAGATTGACCTTAAATATGATTTAATGCACACAGTACAACTCCACCAAAGAAAGTGAGCGTACTACAGTCTCTGTCTCCTGCTGCTTTTTAGCACAATACAAACATTGAGATTTTTGGGTTGCAGTGGAATTGTCCAAAAATCAGCTCCTATCGTCTTTTCCTAACCACTACTCCATGACCTCTGAGGGAGCCGTCACGAGTTAATGAAGAGTGGTTTCATGGTGTTGTGTGATGCTTTATGAACCTGGACCACAGTGACAAATATATTGTTCATTATGTTGGAATTGAAATATAAACGTATATTGAAACGTATCATTGCTCACACATTAATCCACATGAATCCCATTACGTATGATTGTATGAAAACACATTGTAAAATAAATACAATTGTATTTATCGTGAAAAAATCACATCATTGTGAAAATAAATCAAATACAGCTAATACTACACACTAATACAAATATTTCTACTTTGTTGTTGCATGCGTAAAGAGAAGGTACAAATATAAATGCATTTTGTTTTCATTGACATGTTTTCTTCTCCCCGAGTGGAGCAGGCTGGCTCTGTGAGAAAGATCCATGTTTATAGCTTCAGCTTCAGAAGATAATGTCTTTTTACATGTCGATGCAACACATTCTCACTCCCAACTCGGCCTATGTTGACGTTATGTCAGGGTCCCTGTCGTCACTCTCCAACGCAAGGGGGGCCCTTTAGCGTCGAGCTTCAACTACCAGAGTCCCATTGACTTGCATTGAGCTCCCTGAACGCTGGTAATAGACGAGTTGGGATCGCGGAGAAATGCTCTCCGCAGATCCATTCTCACAGCGTTATAAACCTTTTTCTAACTCAATATCAAGCCACACTTATTGTGTTTACTTCTTTATTTTAATTGGATAATTTGGGACTTTTCTTGCCGTCAGTTATGGGGAGAGTAGGAGCTCAGAAAACTGAAATCTGTATTGTTTCATCGTTTTCTCCTTCTAATTTTGTGTTCTTTTCTAAACCACACTGTTATTTACTCAACAATAACTCACTATTAACCTTTTGTTTATTTATTTGTTTGATTGCATAATGTCGGACTTTTGGAGTCCGTCAGGACCGAGGGTCGGAGCAGCTCATTCGAACACAGGAAGCTGTATTTTCAAAATAAGAGTTCATTTTAATATTATGTTTGATAATATTATTTTTATTAACTAGACCAGTGGTTCCCAAACTGTTTGTGCCCAAGGCACACCAAAGGACAAGTAAAAATCTCAAGGCACACCTATTGTGCAAAATAGCCCTTATAACACGTGTTATCAATCATATCATGTAAAATATCTGTAAATGTGCATAATTATTTACTAATGCCAAATAAAATGTGACAAAGACAACTATATTACTCATGAAATATTTATTAACGAAATATTTCAGAAATTAATTTGAAACTTTAATTAGGCTTCATCAAAGCAGCAACACACTCATTTAAACCAGACAGGTCACAACATTAAAAATGAGGCAAAGGAAACTCAGCAGAAATTCATCACAGAGAACTGTCAATGCAAGGAAGCTGCACTGCATGGTCCTGAACTACAAATTATAAATGTAACATTGCAGCAATCAGCATTGAAACATGTGCTATTGTAAATATTTTGCCGACTTACAAATGAGTGAGATACATGTGCCTGTCGGGGCGCGCAGAATGTTTTAATCCTTGGTGGCACTGAGGAGAGGGCCACTCGCAAGTCCTGTTCAACAGAGAGCCGTGACCTCCTGTTGTTCTTCATGTAAATCAGAGTAGAGAACGCCAACTCCAGAGATGGGGTCGTTACTAAGAAAATGTAATATATTACATATTACTTAAAAAAAAGTAATATATTACACTACTTCGTTACTATCTACATAAGGTAACTCGTTACTTTACTCGCCGAGCACGTACGAACTGCGCATGCGTGAGCGGCAATAACTTTCCTTACCAGCAGGCAGCGGTAGTGTGTATTTGTCATTCAAAACAGGCAACAACCGGAAGACAGAGAAGAAGAACAGACAAACAACTAATAGCGTGTGCGGTAGCTTCACCTTAGCATGTGTTCTTTGCAGGTGTTTGTTGAGGTTTGACCACGTGGTGTTTCCAGCAGTGGATAACAGCTTCTGGCCTGGACACAGTTTGCACCTCACCGTCACATTCCTGTCTATTCTTCGGACGAACTAAAAATAATGGGCATACCTCCACCTCTCGAAAGTTATCGCTGACTCAGCCATGTTTATGCAGCACTGCACGTGGAGATGTGGACGCACAAGTCGCGCAGATTACGTACATATAAACATACAAAGTACTGAAATAGTCAATTGAATAATTATTTTTGTGTAGTTGTATATTGCAATAATAACGTATGGTTGTCACAAAATCCCACGGCACACCCGGACTTGCCTCAGGGCACACCGGTATGCCGCGGCACACCGTTTGGGAACCACTGGTCTATGCGTGAGATGACGAGAGCCTGGACCAGAAGCTGCGTGGCTTTCTGAGTCAGCTGGGGACGTATCTTCCTGATGTTGTAAAGCGTGTATCTGCAGCAGCGGGTTGTAGCAGCGATGTTTGCAGTGAAGGACAGGTTGTTATCTAGGGTCACACCCAAATTCCTTGCAGTCTGAGTCGGGGAAACAACTGAGGTGCCAATGTTGATTGTTAGGTCAAGAGTGGGACAATCTTTTCCCGGAAGGAAGAGCAGCTCAGTCTTGCCAAGGTTGAGCTTGAGGTGATGAGCAGAGATGCGTGCAACGACCTGGGTCTCTGAGCGGGGAAAGGACCAAATTAATTGAGTGCCGTCAGCGCAGCAACGGTGTGAAAAACCATGCGGGCTAATGACTGATCCGAGCAAGTTTGTGTACAGAAAGAAGAGGAGGGGATCGAGGACAGAGCCCTGAGGGACCCCTGTAGATAATTGACATCCCTTCTTGTACACAACGTCAGTGTTGATCTTCCACTTCAGTCCGTTGTCTAAGTGCAGTCCCAGGTACTTACTCTGTTTACTGGATTATTCACACGCTTTTAAAAGACCTTCTTTGAGTTTGACAGTTCCTGTGGACTTGAACATTTCTCCAGTTATTTTAGTTTGTGCTACTGTTGGGGACAGAGTTATTTCAAAACAAGGACTTTTTTATTTGAAGTTGGGACTTTTGGTCTTTGGGAGTCACTGCAGTTAGACAGAAGTGAACACTGTTCAAAAGGAAGCTGAGCACCCATGAGTTTAGTGTGGCTTTTATAGATTTAGATTTACAATGTTCCTGTGTGTATGAGTTCACTCTCTATATATTCTCTTGAGAAGTATTTCAGAATGCTTTACTTGAAAAAGAAGAAAGTTACACGCTTAATGGAGAGGACGGACATTTCATGTGTGTATGTGTGTGTGTGTGTGTGTGGTGTGTGTGGTGTGTGTGTGTGTGTGTGTGTGTGTGTGTGTGTGTGTGTGTGTGTGTGTGTGTGTGTGTGTGTGTGTGTGTGTGTGTGTGTGTGTGTGTGTGTGTGTGTGTGTGTGTGTGTGTGTGTGTGTGTGTGTGTGTGTGTGTCCTCAGTGAAGTGTAGCTTCCAGCTGCAGCATTCATCTCAGTTCCTGTTCAGTCTGACTGAGGGAGGTTTTTGTACGACGCTTTTTCACTGTGTGAACACATACTGACTGTTGATGACATGGAAACTCTGACAGTAGTAAACTGCTGTGTCATCAGTCTGGACTCCACTGATGGTCAGAGTGAAGTCAGAGTTTGATCCACTGCCTGTAAAACGCTCTGAAATCCCTGAAACTCGAGTGCTAGTATGATAAATCAGCAGTTTAGGAGTTCCTCCATCTCTCTGTTGGTACCAGGCTAAATAATTCACATGTTCAACCTTCGGACTGGTCTTACATGTGATGGAGACGGAGCGTCCCGCAGCAGAGCTCACTGCTCCAGACTGAGTCACTGTGACCTGGCCTCTGGACTCTGAGGACACAGAGACAAAGACACAAAGCAGCGTCATGGTTTTGTCCGCTTCATTTCAGAGGGACGGATGTTCACAGAGGAGAGGAGTTTGATTCTCTGGACTTTACCTGTGAAGCAGCAGCAGAGGAGAGTCCAGATGAGGACGCAGATCAAAGTCATGTTCTTGATGAGGAGGATTTCTGTGGCTTCTGTTGTCATGAAGGACAGCTGTCAGTCATCCAGTGCTCAACTCTCAGGACTATAAAGTGTCCCAGAGCACTGGAGCATGGTGCTGCTGATGCAAAGTGTGTCTCTATGGAAATGCTCTGACTCCAACAGGGACCTGGATTACTCTGATGGTGCTGTTTATCAATGGATCCATCTCTCTGTCAGAGGGTTGATCAGGAATGGCTCAGCGCTCACTTGTACGACGCTTTAAGTTCAACGGACACATTTTCTTGTAGTTCATTTTATTAAAAAGCTCAAATTCATAACTCCAAATAATCAATAGCACCTAGGAAAAACAAAATGGAGATTTATTATTGATCCTGATGGAAAAGCAAACATGTATTTATGGAAATGATGCACATTCAGAAGTATAACATGTATAGCTTGAGTTAGACGTTCATTGTTTCATTGAAGTAATCAATTACTTTGATGTTTACAAGTTGATAAAATCAT